CCATAACTCTAGTTCCAGGGGATTTGATGCCTTTATCTGGCCTCCATGGGCATTGCAAATACAGGTGCACTTATACACATACAGGCAAAACACTCATACACAAAATAAAAATAAACAAATCAAAAAATTTTTTAAAGAACCAGATTGAATACTAGCATTTGCGTGAGCGATGCCAAAACTTTGCTATCATCTTTACTGGTCCTACTTACTGATATCAAGAACCATTATAGTTGTTTTCATTTAATCCTCCCTCAAAGTGTATGAAATTAAATTCCAATATGGCAGAAGAAATCGACACTTAAAAAGCTTAAGTGGTTTGCCCAAGATCAGATACCAAGATAGTAATTGGCAAGTCAGGCCTCAGTTCCAGGTATGTATGGTGGTAAAGCCTATACTCAGACCTTTTGTTAGAACTCCTCATCTCAGTGTGTATAATCTGACGTTGAGGCCATGCTTTATAGTATTCGTTGCTTTACTATGTGTTCGTCTATCAAGATATGTAAATCACAACATTTCATTGTATACCTTAAATATATACAATTTAAAAATTACAATATTTTTTACAAAAAATAGACAAAATAAGGAATAAGCTGTATAATTGTCTCAAATTGAGGAAACTGTATTTAACTTTCATACCTTCAGTCAACTTGGCATGCCTGAGAAGAGCAAACCTCAACTGAGGAATTTCTTCCATCAGATTGGCCTATGGGCATATCTGTAAGGCATTTTCCTAATTACAAATTGGTACATGAGGGCCCAGCCTATTCTGGGTGGTGCCATGCCTAAGTTGGTTGGCCTGATCTGTTTACGAAAGGTAGCTGAGGGGCTGGAGAGATGGCTCAGGGGTTAAGAGCACTGGCTGCTCTTCCAGAGGACCCAGGTTCAATTGCCAGCACCCACATGGCAGGTAACAACAGACTGTAACTCCAGTTCCAGGGGATCCAACGCCCTCTTCTGAACTCCTGCTGGCACTGTAAGACACAGGTTCACTTACATACATGCAGACAATATACTCATACAAATAAAATAAAACAAACAAAAAGAAAGGTAGCTGAGCAACAAACCAGAAGTGAGCCAGTAAGCAGCATTCCTCTGTGGGCTCTGCCTCAGTTCCTGCATCCATGTCCCTGCTTGAGATCCTGCCCTAACTTCCCTGGATGATGGACTTTGACCTGCAAGGGGAAATTTTCCTTCCCAAGATGCTTCTGGTCAGTGTTTTATCACAAGGACAGATACCAAACTAGAATACGTACTAAACAAATAGAATATAAAAGAGTCTAACTTTGCTTGGTAGATTATTGCGAAGTAATAATTGAGTTGGTATTCAAACTACCGAGTATTATAAAATGGTGTTTCAGATTTCCTAAACTAAAATAATAGGGTATCCCTGAAAATGCTGTAAATTTGGTCTGGATCCCAATGTAAAACATTGTGTTCACATTGCAACAGCTTACCTGTTTTTTGAGATGCATGCTTATTTTTATAGTTCTGTGACAATTTTAATAATTCTGGGTGGTTTTTTTTTTTTTGGAGGGCGTCTTTTTGAGACAGAATCTCCCTGTAGCTGCAGCTGGCCTGGAAATCCATAAATAGGCCAGGCTGGCCTTGAACTCTCAGAGATCTGCCTGGCTCTGCCTCCCCAGTGCTGGGATCAAAGGTATGGGCCACCATGCGCAAAGATTCTGTAACTTACTCTGCCTAAGTACTATATGAAACATAACCTTTCTGCTTTGTAAATTTGTCATTTTTAAGTTTTTCTAGTCCTAAAAAAGCAGTGGAAACATGCTAATATATAGGACAAAGCTAAAATTGACAGTGCAGTTTAAAAATATATTTAATTGAAAGAATATTAGCTAAGTATATAAATAGATGAGTTCTGCAAAAATAAATCTTAAAATTGATTAAGATGGCCCATGAATTCCTAGAGTCTGAAGCAATATTTTAAAGGAAACTAAGGCAAATATGATTTGTCCTGAATGTACTTTTCATGGGAGCATCACCTAAATTTGTTGGTATAGGCCATTAGATCCTTCATTTGGATAATTTTTTATCCTGCACAGACTAGATTCATGTGTAGAAGAAACATTACTCTCTGAGAGTTAGTTTGATAGATACTATAAGGTATCTATATCTGTATGAGATACAGCCTGCACTTCATATTATAAGTGAGTTCAAAGGAAAAAGAGATAACATTTTGATTAAGTAACTGAGGGTAGGCTTGACTACTGATAATGGAAGGATGAATGGAACTTTTGTAGAGAAAGAAATACAGATAAAATGATCAGAGACATGAGTTACAACAGTTCAAAGAATATTTACAGGATAAGAAGAGGCTACTTTGGAAGGGATGTTTATAACATTTATGGAAGGCAGAATCTGGTTATAGAGGGTATTTGATGCTAGGCTATGTAAATCCATGAAAGAGGATTATTTTTTAGTTTAAGTTTTTGAGACCGAGTCTTACTATGTAGCCTCTCTCCCTCTCCCTCTCCCTCTCCCTCTGTGTGTGTGTGTGTGTGTGTGTGTGTGTGTGTGTGTGTGTGTGTGTGTATGTTTGTAAGACAGTTCAGGGTTTATTCTTATCTAAATAAGAGTATTCATCAATCTCATTTATTTTAGTCAGGTCCCTATCATAAATTGAATAGCACTTCCAAAGTAATGCAATATACTTAAAACAACAACAACAACAACATAGTACCTTTTGGACAGAGGAGAAGAAATATAAGTAGAGGTGGATGTGATAGCCCACACCTTTAACCCCAACACACCAGAGGCAAATTCGAATATGAGCTGTGTGAGTTTAAAGTCAGCCTGGTTTACATAACGAGTTAGAAATAAATCATCTCATTTAAAATACGATTCAGATCTTTGTAGATTTACATCTGAATGTGTAGGTGAGATGGCTGACAGGCAGGTATCGACTTTTGTCTCCTTGGTTTCATCTTGATTCTTTGCAAAAGGATGATTAAATATTAAAGAAGAACAAGCAAGAAAATTTAAAAAGACCCAAGAAGTCTGCAAGATTTATATGGCATCTCTGCTATCACTATCTCCATGCAAGCTACTCTCACCCCTCAGTTCTTCTCCCCTTGGTTACCAGTGCTATCTCTGAAAACCCAAATTCAACCACATTGCTGCCCTGCTTTGCTCTATCACGTCTTCATTTGTACATGGATTGCCCTTTAGCATGTTAGCTTTTATCTAAAACCACAGAATAACCTCACTTGAAAACTCAGGGGGTCACTGGGACTTCAAACTGAGTTTTTGATGATTGCCTATACAACTCAACTTCAAGGAGAAATGCCAGTGGGTGGAACAATGCTCTCTAGCCGAGTGCAGATTGAAATGTTAACCTATTTCTAAACTGGGCTTCTTCATAAAAATTTTCACTTATTTCTTCATTGACATCTTCATTTTTATATAATATAGTTTGATCATTATCCTCTCTTGTTCCACTTCCTCTTCTAATGTCCTCTTCGTAGCTCTTTCTTTTCCTTGCTATCTTTTCTTTTCCATTACTTTCTTACCTGTCTTTCTGGTTTTTTGGTGAGGGACTCACAAGGCTTTATCCTTCCCTTTATATTTTTGAGGAACTTTAGCTGCTTTTGAAAGAAGATGAATTGATGACAAGTTATTAGATGGCTTCTAAAGTTTGTTTCAGTATCAAAAATTTTTGAGTATCCAGGCCCCTTCATTTTTTATTCACTTACATTAATTTTATTCAAATAATTAAAACCTTGGTAGAGCCTAATGGGATTTCAGAGTTGGGAGAGGCTTTATCATTTATCCTCTCCAGTTTCACAAGAAACTGAACTTCTGAGAAAATTTACTTATAACAAAAGTCCAAATAGATTGAGACTACAATTTTTATTACATTGTTCATTATGATGTTTAAAATCTCTGAAAACTTTTGTGGTAAGGTAAATTTTGTACCCTTAAGGTGGCATTTGATACATTTATTTGATCAGAGAGACTTGCTTTTAAATAGCACACCTTTTAACACCTTATAGGGCACACAATGTGCAATTTGAGAAACACATATATAGGCCAGAACCGTTTTGGGCAAGGAATTTGAAATCAAAAATGGTTTATCCAGTACCACATAGCTAGTCATCAGGTAGCTTGGGGTTTATTTCTTAATTTTTCCTGTGCAACTTCAAGCTAATTCCTTAATGGACAGATGGATCATATAATTTTACTTCCCAGGTGCTTAGCTTCATATCGAGATCTTGAAGAGTGACTGGTAAATAGTAGTTCTGTGTTTTATACTCATAAGAACTTGAACATTATAGTAAAAATTAGTGTATATATATGTATATATGTATATATATGCATGCTTTTCCCCATGTTCTATAAACAGACCTTCTGTTCAGACATGCATAGCCTTCCCGTACCATTGCAATTTGTCTGTTTCTTTTATTTCTCTAAAGTTTTTGTTGTCAATGATCCATGGTCATTGATTCATACTGTTTATTGAAAATAACTCTGTGGACTGCTTTGCCTCAGGGATAATTTGATTAGGGGCACTGCAGTTTGACACCATTCAGGAAAATGTTACACTGTAAAGGGTATTGGATTTGTCATAGAATGATATTGAAGGGAAGGCAGAGACAGGAAAGCTAATAGTATGTTAGCCTGGTTATTTACATTGAGCCTTTGGCATTTTTTGCCTGCCATATTTTGTTGCTATCATTATCTTCCTAAAAGATAAGCATAGGACCAATTTGAAGATTTTTATTTGGCAAGGGCAAAAGCTAGTACCAGATAAAGAAGGTCATAATAAGTTGCTATAGAGCCCATGCTTTCCAGAGCACTGTTTCTGTCCTCTGAGGTTAGGTATCTGTGATAGAGGAAACAGTTTTGTAAGGGAGCAAGATTAGAATGCACTGAAATGAAATGCCCACATTGACCACATCAGCTGTAATGGAGCTTATCTGATGGAGTGACTCAGCCTCTGTGAATCCGACTATCTGACTATGTATGTGCTCTGTTTTGTACAGAGAATCGGCATCCAGGACCTGCCAGAAGCCAGGAGAAAAATGGGGAGGGGTAAGTTTCTTTTCCCTTTTAAAGTCTTTAGACTTTCCATAGTAATCCACTATAACCAGGAAATTAAATTTGAGTCTGAAAGTATGCTTGTGGATGATGCTTAAATTGTATTTTTTCTTGGTTGCTGTGCAGAGAAGCAGCACACCACATGTTGCTCACTGGGTCTTTTATTATTGCTTCTGTGTTGTTTTGTTTTGCTTTTTTACATCGCCTAATCTCCTAGTATAGGTAGAAGCAGCTTAAATTTGATATTATATGAATCTGCCTATGTTTCAACTTCTTTATAACTCTTGGCAAGGTTACCCATATGCTTCAGTGGTATCTACATTTTGTTAATAGTAACACAAACAAAAAGAGGTTCTTCCATGCTTCACCTGTGACATTGATTTGTTAGTGCTTTTGGTTTCTCTTAAAATGGGACAGTTCAGCCAGACATGGTGACACACATCTTTAATCTCAGCACTTGAGAGGCAGAGGCAGGTGGCTCTCTGTGAATTCAAAGCAAGCCAGGTCTACATAGTGAGTTCCAGGGCAGCCAGGGAGTGAGACCCTGTCTCAAAACAGAGGATGGGGAGGGAAGTACAGCACCATGAACTTTTACATGAATTCTTTGTGCTTATTTTTGCTTTTTCATAAGTCTATGGACAGTGGACAATAGAGAAATGTAAGGTCATTTCACTATTAATATGGACCATCCACCACAGTGACATGATAAATAAATCTAATCTGTGTAAATTATAAAATCAGAGTACTCTAAAAGACCTTAGAGGAAAATACTGTGTGATATTCTATACTTAGAAAAATAATGAGCACAATGTCTAAAGGCCTGGATTCCAGTTCCACAGCCAAAGATTTAGCCGCATATCAGCTTCCCTAAACTGGTTTGTGTATCTCTGAGGTGGAACTAACACATCCTGTACTTTCACCGTCAGGAAGATGTGGTTAGCATAATATGATAATACAATGGAGTGTTTAGAACTGTGAATTATAATGGAATTGAGCAGTGGCACCAGCTTATTGCTGCCATAATCGAATAAGTGTATCTCTATTGGTCCATTTAATGGTCAAAATGAAGTTATCGGATCAGATGCTTTTGAAGGCTGTAGAGATTAATATAGAGTTGTGCAAGTAGCTGAGAGTTATTCTTTCTGTTGCTTGTCCCATCGTATTTTTCTTAATAATCAGCCTTAAGATCACAGATCTCTCATAGAATTATGTTTCTGATACTTTTTGACTCAAGCTTTTGTTTCTGTTTGCTCCAGGGCTTCCCTTGAAAACTGATTTTCCTTAGGGAACCTGGTTCTTTCTCAATCTTTACAAAACATGCCAATCTCTGATCATTTAGAAAATTTAAAAATAAGTAAAATATTTAAATATATTAGACATATTTCTAGGACTAATCCATACATGCTGTATCCTAAAGTCAGCTGTCAGTGGAAGCTTCCAGACATCTCATGTTGCTTGGTCCTTAACCAACCCCAAAATTTCAGATAGATTTGGAAAAGGCCCTGGTTGTTGGCTTCCACTACTACTGCTATACGGAAAAGAGCTACACCCAGGCAAGCAACCCGTTCTTTGTTTCTTCTTTTATTTTCAGACTGATAAGTCACTGGCAAAGGGACCATCAGGTGCTTACTTTAGAAGATAGCTCAGCAAGTATTTATTCAGATGCTCAGGCAATTAATAGCTCTGAACATAGTAATGTAATTTGCATAGATGGGAAGGTTTCCAACCTGGAGATGGGGGAAAAAAAGGAAGTGCTTCACATAATGCTGCTTTTACAAACATGGAAGCTTGTGATAGATGCTTTTGGCTGCTGGCAGTGACTACTTTGAAAGCATTCTTTTTTAAAAAATTATTTTTATTTTATGTGTGTGAGCGTACTGCCTTCATGTGTGTAAGTGCATCCATGTCATGTAATGGCCACGAAAGTCAGACGAAGGAGTTGGATCCCCTGGAACTGGAGTTATGGATGGCTGTTAGCTGCCATGTAGGTGCTTGGAGACGAACCCAGGTCCTCTGTAAGAGTAATCAGTGCTCTACACTGCTGAGCCATCTCTCCAGCCCTGAAAGCATTCTTAATATTGTAAATGCCTAAGACATACCACCTTTTATTCTGTAAGCCTTGTTTAGTATGCCTGATTACATTGTTAATTGCTGACACTTTAGTGGACAAAAAAAAGAGGTGTTACTGTGTTTGCTTATTTTTCTCTTTATTGGTATCATATACTGGAGTTTTTACTGTATTTGGCAAACATTCTCACAAACATATTTCAATATGTCATATAGGGAACACAGATACTACAAAGATACGCCATCAGACTTACTGTATGAATTAAGGATCCATGAAAATAATGAATATAGAAAGATAATTGTACAGTTGTGAGAAATTAAAATTCAAGCAAGTTTATTTTGGTATTTCTTAATAAGGATGAAGAATTACTTTATAAATATATTAAAATCATCTTTGTGACATGAAGGATCACAGGCAAAGTCTGAATCTTAAAAATAAGGATCTGGATCTGAGTATGTAGTTCAGTTGGTAGAATGCTTGCCCAGCATGTACAAAAGTCCTAGATTCAATTCCAAGACTGTGATGTAAACAACAAGTGCTGGCATATGTTTGTAATCCTAGCACTTAGGAGACGAAGGCTGTAAGGGCAGGAGTTTAAGGTCAACCTTGGATACATAGCAAGTTGGAGGCTGGCCTGTCATGTATAAGTCCCTGTCGAAATAAAATGGGAGGGGGATGAAAACAGAGTTGTATGTTGAGTTTCTTATTTGACCATACCCAGTACTCAGTATGTGTCCAATTGTTTTTTTTTACTATTTATTAAATATTTAATCAGGGTTTATTATTTAGGATTGAAGAATTTATAATTACTTGTGTATTAAGTATTTATAGTATTTCTTAACTGACAAATTTTCCTTTGACATTTAGCTTATTTATCTTGAGTTGTAAGAACCTTATATTAAAAAATAAGGATTATTGGGGCTGGAGAGATGGCTCAGCTGTTAAGAACACTGATTGTTCTTGCAGAAGACCTGTGTTCAAATCCCAGCACCCACATGGCAGCTAACAATTGTCTGCAACTCCAGTCCCAGGGGATCCGACAGCCTCTTCTGACTTCCGTGGGCATTGCATGACACAGGTGCACTTACCTACATGCAGGCAATACACGCATACACATAAAATAAAAATAATGAATAAAAAAATAAAAAATAAGGATTATAATCTCCATTCATATATTATAAAACTGAAGCTGATATAGAAAATATTACCTTTATTGAACAGCCTATAGTTTCTGTGAGAGCAAAGATACAAAACTATTATGTTACAGTAAGTTTTCTTCTGATAAACTATGTTCTGAGTATCCTTATTAATAATATATGAAGTAGATTGCATCATAGGAACCTTCTATTGCTGTGAAATATGTGAAAGCAATTATTTTCGTAAGCTCTGTAGTAATATTCTTTTCTCATAGAGGAATAGCTGGTAGTCAAAGTGAAATAGCTCACTGTCTACCAACATTTCTGGTATCAGCTAAAGCACATGTGTATCAGACACCCAAGTGCCTCAATTATAAAAATCTAAGCAACAATGATTCTTTGCTGCTGTAATTCAAAGGCCACCAGCACAATTTGGCTAGCATGTTCAGTTCTCAAGCTTTGTTCTAAACATTCCACAAGGGAAAGTTCATAAAAGTGGCTTGATAATGCTTACCTGTCCCATGTGACAGTCACCGTTTTTGACTGAAGAGTTTTTATCTTTGTGCCTTTTCTTGAAACAAAAATTTCAACAACATCATACAACTCAGAATTGTAAGAGATGAAATTGGAAGGCACTAGTTCAAAACCTATCAATGTTTTGTTTTATTTTTTTGAGACAAGGTCTCTCTGTTTAGCCCTGGCTGGCTTGGAACTTGCTATGTGTACTAGGCTAGCCTCAAACTCCCAGAGATCAACCTGCTTTGCTTCCCAAATGCTGGAATTAAAGGCAGGATTCACCATGCCTCCCCCTGAAAAGAGAACAGTGTGTGTGAATAAGAATGTATATATTTCTAGTAGAGAAGTAACACTTTCACAAAGAGAATGGGAGGACTTTACAAGTGTGTGTATATTAGATAGAAACTGCTATGCACATAATACTGTCTATGTTTAATAATCTTCATGTGAAACTTAAAACTTTTTTGGTGTTTTTGATACAGGGTCTCTGTGTAGCCCCAGATGGCCTGAAACTCGCCATGTAGACCAGGCTAGCCGTGAACTCACAGATAGCTGCCTGCCTCTGTCTCCCAAGTGCTGGGATTAAAAGTGTGTGCCACCATGCCCGGTGGAAACTTTATTTTGCTTTTCAAATCCTCTGAGTAACTAGTATATTTCTAACAAAATAATAGAAAATCATAGGACTCCCACTATTGTCTTTACCCACAAAGCAAATGTTTGTTTGCTAAAAAATCTGATTATTGTTTTTATTATAATGTTTACATACATTTTGATTTTTTAAAAAACAGATCTTCTCTTCATAGAAGAGATCTGATTCCATCTTTAAGGGCTTTTGCAGCAACCCTGTTCTCTGATGGCTGGTTTTCATCGCTGCTTTCACTTTAAGCACAGAGGTTCTGAGGAAGTCCATCATGGTTTCTGAAAAAGGAAGTCATGTGTGCACCTGCCCATCCTTTACAAAATAGAAACAAAAGCAAGGAATCTTTTAGAAGATACTCCTTTGCTTTTTGTATAGAAAACAGTCTACCTGGAGTAACTTAATGAGTGTAAGCAAGCATTATTTGGGAAGGATAGTGAGAAAAGGTGTGACTGTAGCTTAGCCATTTTTCCCTTTGTCCTTTTCTAGTGTTTAGATTTTGGAATTAATTCAAGTGCTTAGACAAGTAATAGAGTTCAAAGTTTAGAAGAACATTTTTTTTTTTTATTTTTGGTGTTTTTTAGACAGGGTATGTCTCCCCGTGGCCCCAGCTAGCCTGGAACTCAGTATGTAGACT